GTGTGTTGTGACTTTGTGTTTACTTTTTATAATTTTTAAGTGTATTTTTCTAGGGCTTGTCCGTTGTTTGTGTTGTCCGTACTATTGCTTTATACCCTGTTCTGCCTTACATGTTAACACAGTGCACCTGTACCAAGACCGCAAGGTTGTTCCCGGGCACGAATAAAAACATTGATTGATTGATTGATTGATTATTATTATCGTTTACGATTATCGATTATCTCAAACCGTGTTCTGCCTGAAACTACGAAGTATTTGCAATTACATGAAACACTGCTCTGTATAAACTGCGAAGCATGTGAAATGCGGTTCGTCCTACGTTTAGCGGGACTTCTTTGCAAAAAAAAAATGAAATACGTTTACGATTCCCTGTAATGACGAATTAGAGCGCAGCTCTTGAGAATGAGTTGAGGCTACGGAGGATGAGGATGAGTTGAGGGTATGCCCCTCCTCCGCACCCTCTCCTCCTCCCCTCCTCCTCCCTCTCCCCTCCTCCATCCTCCTCCACTCATTCCCCTCCCCTCCTCCTCCCCCTTCCTCCTCCCTCGTGACTCTAGTGACTCTCGTGACGTCACTCGTGAAGGTCACGTGAAGGTCGTGACCTTCACGGGTGACCATTGTGACGTCACTCGTGACCCTAGTGACCCTCGTGACGTCATTATGGGAAATGTCCCACAACGGAACGCGCGGTTACGCCGACGCCGACGGTGACGGCGACGCCGCTCAAGCCCGAAACGGGCGCCTAAGGCGCTGCGCTTTAAAAAGTTTCGGTTATAACCGAAACCTAAGTGGCACGAGGCTAAAGGCTGGTTCGCATTTGTGTCGGTTGTACCCAGAGCCGGGTGTAGAGCAACCGAAAACGACAGCAACGACTAAAACACCGGGACAACTGCGACTCATGATTGCTTCACGAAGCTACGTTTTGCATTGCTTGGCACGTTGTGTATGGCGATCACATCTCCAGGTGACTTGGCCGTTGCTGTCGTTTCGGTCGCTCTAAACGCAAGCAACGCAACTGTCTGAACTAGGCTTGGGAGTGTATACCTGTGGAGCGGAGTATCGTCTTTGAATGTCGACTCCAACGCGCGGTGGGGCTAAAGAGTTGAGCTATACTCCATTTTACATTAGCTGCATGCTAGCTGGTGCAATTCGATGGAAGCAGTTTCCAGAAGTAAGGAACGAGGTTATTGTATTGCTTTCCCTGGTACTATATTTTAGCGACGTAGATGTCTGGCTTTCACATGCCTATTCCGCATAAGAATCAATCTATAAAAAAATTGTTGCCGAAATCTCTGCGCACATTGTCGTTAAAATGTGATAGCATTTTGCACAGTTTTGTACTGCGTTGCTGTGGGACAAACGGGGCATCTTACCGACGTTGAGCGTCTACCGATCTGTCGGGGATTGCCGCTGAAAGAAGTCCCTCTAAGCGGTCCTTCACAGCAATCACATCTGACTGGAACCGCAGGCGATCGCACACGCTGCACTTCACGCCGAAGGAGTCGTGGAGAAAATGCTTCTCAAAACCATTTTTGGTCCACATCGTTGCGCCGTTCCGTTGCCGATGCCCTTCTCGCCTGTTTGGCAACTCGCTCGTGTTGCAGCCTAGGTTGCCAATCTTCGGCCGTTTCGCGAGACGTCTTCGCCTGCTTTGCGTCCCGCTTTCGTTACAACCGAAGTTGAGTTTATTTGTCCGTTTCACGAGACGTCTTCGCCGGCTTGGCGTCTAGATCGTGTTGCAGCCGAAGTTCCCGTATTTGGTCCGTTTCACTGGCCCACTTGCTGCTTCTTGCTTCTCGAGTTTCAGGAAAACGTATCTTACGATGTTCCGCAATCTCCAGAACACGTCGCTGTCGCTTTTGCTCCTCGGCGACAGAACAGGGCAGGATTATCTTCAGAAACTCCTCTCCCGCGGAATCTAAAGACACCATTAAGTTTGGTTGAAGGCCTGTTGCTGTCTCCAAATCAAACAGGACGTTCTGGTAAATTGAGCAAGATCAGCTTGGCAAATAAGGAAATTGTGAAGAGCAATAATAATAAATCCATTGCTAAGTCACATTAAAAAAAATGGGATGAGCACGACAAAAAATTTGCTTAATTTTCGTTCGGCAGTTTGTTGGCACAAGAGCGAAAACTGTGAGCTTGGGCGGATCTCTGCGGGGCCACAGTTACTGAAATGCCCATGCAGCGGGCGGCGGAAGTGTATTTCACAAAGTTAACAATACGCGCAGCGTTCGTTGCAGTCGGACTCAAGAACCAACAAATCGTGGCGCCAGATCACACTTTGCGGTTTGAATGTATCGCTTCAGGTGGATTATATATCACTCTTCCGGCAAGACATGTAATACGTCCTGGGAATCACGTCCACTGACCATTGATTAACTGTTTCTTCGTCACTGACAGCTTAAAGGGCGTGACTTGTGCCTAACACTTATCATCGCTCTTTATCCTGTGCGTGCGTGCGTGCGTGCTAAGATTCCCACACGCACGAAACCTAGATCATATCCAGGCTCTCTCTCTCTCTCAGTGTGTTTGTGTGTGTGTGTGTGTGTGTGTTATCGTCGTTGCTACTCAATAGTCAGAAAGACAGTCGGCTCGCAATACTATTATAAAGAATCTTTCAAGAGTCAGAATATTGGGTGCGGACTTGCCCGGAAAGAGGAGCAAAACCGCACATATCTTGGGCGAAACGCGCGGTAGAGTTTACGTTGTCTGGGTGCTCGGCCGCTTCCTGTCGCGGGGAGCGACTCGAAGCACAGACTTGGACTGCGCTGCAGTAATGCCCGGCACGCATTTATTCCCAACTCTGTCGTTGCCTTGATTGAGCGGTTCCTTTCTGTTCATGGGAATTTCCCTTTTACAGCGGAGCTGTTAAGGGCCAGTTTCCCCAGGATCGTGTCCGCCAGCAAACAAATGATGACACAGACTTCTGGACAGCTACCGTCACCTATGAGCGACGGCGGCAACGAGACAACCTGCTTGCCGGTTGTCTGGATGCCGCCGTCGCTCATAGATGGCGCAACCTTTCGAGCCTTTCCACTCTGGCTTGCCGACTTGCGGCCGGCCATTACTTCATTCCCACCATAGTACAGCTTCGCTGGTCTTCCTTCTTCTCCAGAGTGGAAAGGCTGAAAGTTATTTGACAATGAGACCCGGGACGACTGTCCTCTTTGCGAGGCGTTCTTACTTGTGCTGTAAGAATTTAGAATCTTCCGCCCGTGCATTCATCCTCATATATACGAGACGTACTTCTTGAAACACAAAACTTAAAAACAGAAGTTATTTTTAGAAGAGTTTGTTTTTATATATGTCACAAATAACATGTATTATAAGAACTGCACTCAGGGATTGCGCATTTATATGGTTACATCAATTCAAAGCTTCATATCCAGGCTGTTTAAAGCAAGTTTAAAAAAAAACTTTTTTTTTTCACTTTTTTTGGAGTTATTTTTTGTCTCAACACAAAGTTTCGCTCACGGTATCTTGGGATCTAAAAGTTGGACCCGAATACTTTTTTCAGTGTGTAATACCTCATAAATAAGAGAGTGCAACAAGACGACTGTTTATTAAAAATGATAACTACAAATTGTTCCAGTTGGAAAAGACTTTTATGGCTTATTTCTAATTATCAGCGAACAAATGTCAATTCTTGATAACTTTTATAAAAATTATGCTTAAATTATAAACAATGACTTTGTTGCACTCTCTGCTCTTTGGAGAGCATGATGACATACTTTGTGCCATATCTCTATGGGGTATTGTAAAAAGAGTTGGGCAGAAGCATTTATGATAAATTCTTGAAAACTATAATAGACAAGAAAAATTGAGGTTTTGCCTATGCTTAGCACAATACCTTATACTGGATGCGACAATGATATATATTAGATCAAAAATGGCAGAAAAATTGTAAAAACCAGGGTCTCCCCTTAAAGGGGCCACGCAACGATTTTTGTAGTGTCCATTATTACCACTTAGAAGTAATCCTTGACGTACATAATGTACGAAACACGTGTTAGTTTTTCTCTCCACGCAATGGCATTTGCAGAGCAATTAAGAGGAAACCGAGTAGCGTTCACCTACTCAAGTCGCTGTCAAAACAAGCGCCTCTATGCCTCCAATGTTTATCATAGCCACGCGCTGGAGTTCGCAAAGCACAGGGCATGTGCCACGTACTGACTTCCAGACATTGCTACGGTTGGGCTATTCCCGTCATGGAAGAGTTTGGATGAATTGCTCGTCGAGGCAACTGATTGTCACGAGCCCAACTCGAACGCTCACACACAAGTTGGTGTGTTAGGAGCAAAGGACATAGAGTCACTGTAAGAGGACAGATATAGACTCGCTTGATAGCTGGTAGGTCTCCCACCTGAAGTGCTCAAAATTCTCAACGAGGGAGTGCGCATAGTGGGGAAAGGAAAGGAGAGGTATTAAAACATAGCAGATAGTGGTAAAGGGATGGAAAATAAAATAACAAACAACCATGTCACACGAAATTCACAGAACCTCGTTGCCCGGAGGGTGAGTAGGTGCGAGTTCCGCTGAGGACCGTGAAAGCTCTCAGTTACAGCCCCGACATCTTGCATAAGAGATTATATTTGTGCACTGTAGACATGAGTGGTCCACAAAATGTATTCTCGATCTCCGGGCACGCGTTAGGTCCTGCAGATTTCGAACGGCGAGCTCGAATCCGAAAGCGGACTGTCTCCTCTGGGCTATCGAATCGTCTAGGATGCATTGCTAATAGTGGGCTGTAATCAGCTAATGTTGTCGGGCAAGTCTCTTTCTGTACTCCTTCGTCTTCCGCGGCCGGGGCGATTTTACGATCTGTCTCTGTTTTGGTAACGAAGAATAGTAGACTGCCTTCGCAAGTCTAGTATTCTTCGTTATCAAATGGTTAATTCAAACTTGATAGCGAGTCTCCCCCCTCCCATATTTAAACCGTCGTAGATTTCTTAAAATTAAATTAACAATAGAAAGCTTCTCTATGACGTTTCTTTATAATGCCAGTACGCAATTTTTCCGCGTCCCTAAATGTAAGTAGAGTTTTATCGTTTTTTTGCGCTGTTCACTGGTCATGTATGCATCTTGACACGGTACCTTAATATCTGCCTCTTTTTTTTTAGGAATATGGGCAACCTGGAACAACTGCAGTCTTGATGAAGTCCCCGGAAGAAAGCGCAGCCCCGGAGAACATCGTGGCCTACGGACCAGGGATGTTCTTCTCGCCCTCTGGCGCCGTTTCAATGTCTCAGCACCTCACGCATTGTCTTTCGCCATCTACGCTGTGCTCAAGTTCCGTACCTTTCCCAGTTGGCTCCTACATCATTCCAGACAACATTTCCAAGAGTGTCGGTCTAACGGCCGCTGAGAGCACCATCAAACCCCCGTATTCCTACATCGCGCTAATTGCCATGGCCATTCGTAGCGCGCCTGATCAGAAGATAACGCTGAACGGGATCTATAAGTTCATCATGGACCACTTCCCATTCTACCACCACAACAAGCAGGGCTGGCAGAACTCTATACGACATAACCTTTCCCTGAACGACTGTTTCGTCAAGCTCCCAAGAGAGAAAGGCAAACCGGTCAAAGGACACTACTGGACACTTGGTGCCGACTGCGAAGCCATGTTCGAAAATGGCAACTTCCGTCGCAGAAAGCGCAAGAAGAAGCAACCGGTACCGGACCGGGATAGGGAGACAGCGGTCGCCCATGCCCGTCTCCAGTTGGAAAGCCTGGCCGTCAAATTCACAGACAGAATGGCCGTGCCAGGAGAGCACTCGACGCCGCGTCAAATGCTTAGCGTTTCGCACAAGCTGCCGGCGGCTCCTAGCTCCCGACGGAACCTGCTCCTGGAGCCGTGCGACTCGAAAACGCGGGACTGTACGTTCAAAAGTTCCTTCACAATCGAGAACATTATGAAGCGCAGCCCTCCAACCCCCTCTGTGAGATCGGAAGCGGTTGCAGCCGATCTGCGCCTGCCTCAAGTTGCTGCTGCTATGGCGGCCAACAGTTTACTACTTCGTCACTTTCCAGCATTTCCTTTCCAGGTTGTTCACGGAGGTGGGAGGAGCTATCTGCCGAACGGAAGCTCTGCTGAGATCGGGGAACAGTCGTTCGTTTCGTGGGCCCCTACGAGCGCCACCTACGAGCAGCTGATTGGTCCAAAGTGCAGCCAGGTGGCCCACAGGGAAACTTTGTTGTGCAGTGCCGGAATGCTTCCTGTCTCCAAAGTGGAGCCATTTTAAAGAATAGGAGCAACCCCACCCCGCGAGAGAGAGGGGAATAAGGATCGTGTGATTCTAAGGGCAGTACGTCATCAAACTATAAAGCCGTGAACTTTGATCGGGCTCTGTGCAAGTTTTCAGTTGTGTTCGCGGAGTTACTCGCAATAAAACTACACTTTCAAGCGACGTAATGCGTCTGAAAGAGTCACACGTGCGGTAAGTTGATAACTATCCTATGAAAGAGACCTGTTCTCGTTTCAGGAGCTGCGACAAGCCACATCGACTGCAGTTAAAGGGACCCCGATGCAAAATTTAACTTTAATGTTATACAGGGTGAAACAAGGAGACGCCAGCTAGGCTCTTTAAATCGACCGGAAAATTCGGTTTCTTAACCTATCGCGCTACGACTTTGTGCAGCGTTGCCCACAGATGGTGCTTTTTTTTTTGTAAAATTTGCAAAGAGCGAACTTACCTGAGGAAAAAGTATAAAAAGAAAAAGGCTTAGCTCCTATGGAAACGTAGCGACGCCACCGATCTGCTAACAACACGGCGCCGTTTCGCACGGGACACAAGAGATGGCGCAAGCGGTCGCGACGCCAACTGCCGCCAACGAAGGAGCAGACGACACCGAGAGCCGGCCCTCTTGCAGACAAGGAACTGCAGTTCCCTGCTGTTACCGCGCCTGTCTTCTTTGTTTCTGCGACTGTCGCCGCCTGCGGAACGCGCGCCGCTTTTGAGTCGAAAAGATCGTCTGCTAAAAAGGCCTGCTCTCGGCGCCGTATGCTCGTTCGTTGGCGGCGTTTGTTGCGCCATCTCTTGTCTCCCGTGCGAAACGGCGCCGTGTTGTTTGCAGATCGGTGGCGTCGCTGCGTTTCCATAAGAGCTAAGCCTTTTTCTTTCTTTACTTTTTCCTCAGGTAAGTTGGCTCTTCGCAAATTTTACAAAAAAATGCACCATCTGTGGGCAACGCTGCACAAAGTCGTAGCGCGATAGGTTAAGAAACCGAATTTTCCGGTCGACTTAAAGAGCCTGGCGTCTCCTAGTTTCACCCTGTAGATTTGAGATAGGCCTGTATTCACGCCACACTATACTCCGTTTCGCATCAAGTCCGACCGCAGCCGACGCTGCGATCCTCGGGAGCCAATCAAGCAGCACCAAAAGTGCATCGTCACGGCGCTCGTCGTTTTTGTGCAGCGTCGGCATCGCTAGCAAGCCAGGAGCTTCTTTTGCCGCGGCGTGACTTCGAGGAGAAGCGATTGATGTATTTCAGTCTCTGCTCCACAGAGCTTGTTGGATCACGATGTCGCCGGTGTCGCCGGAATCAGTTGACGGTAGTCGTATGCGGCTCGAGGATTCGACTCGAGCACTGCACTCGACCTGGGTCAGCGCCATCTAGAATAATGAAGGCCTCCCGAACGCCCCACTATTCTTCCAAGGAACGTCATCGGCTGTCGGATGGCGGCAACTCGGCGATTGGACCTGAGCTGGACGCCCAGCGTCCTTCGACGCGCTGATTGGACACGAGACCGAGCCGAACACTGACGCAGCACTCGTGTCCAATCTGCGTCTTCGCTCGATCGATCGCTCTGAGGACGTCAAACTTCTAGTGCGCAGGCTTTGATTATTCTAGCGGGTGGACTCGGTTTCAATCGATGCTTTGGCAGACATTCGGACTGGGGCTCGTCTCGCTTGCCGCGGCAACAAGATTAGCCGAACTCTAATACCCTAGTCCTACTTGAACGACAAACAGCAACAAGCGACGCCGACCAACCTCAAGCACGTGCAGCATGCACGCGAAGGTACACTCTAATCATGGTAACCTTTGTAAAGGTGCACGTTTTCACATTTTTGTGCACCTATAAGTTAAAGGTTACACAAATGTAACCTTTGCTAATGTAACTTTTGTAAAAGTTACAGTGGCAAAGGTTACCTCTAATTTACTTATAGAAAGGTTACAATCTCGTTAGCATTGTAACCTTTATAAAGGTATCTGCCCGCCAGAAAGTTATAGGTAACTTCCATGTGTTCGTGTAACCTTTGAGTGAAGCAACAGCTGGAATAAGAAATCCTTTTATTAAAATGGCATTTTTTGCGAAAATCCACAAAAAGCATCCTGCTCGATTGTGATTTGACCCGTACAAAAATAGGACAACCCATAAAATAGTGAAAAACTAGAGAACAAAAAAAAATCCTGTAATATACAAAAACGGCACTTGATTCCGAAGTATCACAATATACATAATCACAAATTCCCGAGTCTGGGATACATCAATAAAAAGCTGTGATATAAATTACGTCCATAATGTAAAGGCACTATTATCGTAAGCGGTTAGCAAGTATCGTAGCATATATGCATCACAAAGAGCGCTGTTGAACGGTCTATAAAGCACTTTAGAATCTAAGGCCATATTACATCAGTGCTAGCCGCACACAAAAAAAGTTGAAAATTCGCTTAAAGAAAGCATATAAACTCACGTTAAATCTCACTTCGACAGAAGCTTCGGCTTAAAAAAAAATCGCTAAAAAACAGCAGGCATCACTACAGAGGTGACTCATGAATACATTTTGTAATAGCATAAAAAGCCTCATTTTTAGCATATGTATACAGTGGCCAAGGATACAAAAGATCGTCAGGTTTAATCACTATGGCGTGTGGTGTCTTGAGAAGAATAAATGCATTCAGTCGCTTTGAATAGCTCACTTTGACCAGAACCAGAACAGCGATGAAAATCTTGTCTTGCCAAGGTACAATTGTTTCTATTTCCCCAAACATTGCATGGTCATTTTGTTCAAACACAACCACATCAGAAATAGAGATTTTGACACCAGAGATAAAGGCAGAACGTACGGACATAACAGTTTGACCAACAGCATTAGGCTGCAGTCCACATGGCAAAAAATCAGATGTTAAGCTGACTGGTACACCGGCTGCTGGTGCAGTGTCACATTGTGCAAAGCTCAGCTTAGGCTGCCCTGGTCCTAACCACAGGTCACTTGACATTTTCATCTGAAAGTAATTTGCGACAGATAATGGAATATTTTTGAAATTCCAGAACTTCTTCGACTTTGGAAGAGCGTTTTTACTTTCGAATCTCATTGTCCAATGATGATGGGAAGGACCGAAGCGCCGTATCTGAGTGACCTAGTGCACCAGCATGTGCAATTTCGGTTTAAATGAGCTGGAACCATACAGCTGCACAAAAAGCTCATTATGGCGTGCTACTAGGCACTCAATGTCTCCAAGTGCATCTGGGGAGATAGCAGGAGAAAGAAATAACTGTGTGATGATGCAAAGCAGCACAAAACATTCACAATGTGGTTCTTCCGTAGCCTCTTCAGGCAGATATTCATCAATATTAAAAAGAAAATGAAGATGGAGTATTAAACTGGAGCTTGCTGCAAATGGAAAACTGAAGTCGGATTCAAAGCTGCGAGGATAGTCACTCTTACTCACTTGCCTATGAAAGCAGAACCGAGACAAGGCAGTGTTAAGCTGGCTTAAGGTCATCCATGCTGCCTCCCTTACAATGAACTTACTGAAAAGTGTCAACTCCAGAGGAATGACTCCTTCCAACAAAATGTGCATAGGGTCATACAGCAAGTCCGTGAGTATTGAGAAATTAGGAATTTCTGCGAGGACTGATTTTGACTTAATCCCGCACTGTGCTGACAATTCAGTACGGTCTTTCTTTGAGCTAGCTGCCTCAATTGCCCTAAGGTTCTCTTCATATTTAGACTCTGTACGTAGTGGACATTGAATTTCATAGTGAAAATTATAAAATTCAGATGTGGGTGCTGTGCAAGTTCGACAAGCAAGGCGAACATTTTTGCTGAAGCTTTCCTTAAAGCCTGCTATATTGTGACATGCCAATGCGTCTCCAATATAGGCAAGCAAAAAACCAAAAAAGAGATTTTCACCACATACAGTTTTTAACGTGCAGCCTCTGTGAAGTAAATTTAGAGTGGCAATGAAGTCTTGAAGAAGCATATGTTTTGCTTCTAATGATTTAAGAGCTTTTGCTTGCCCCACTCCAAGCAAAAAAATGTTGGCTAGCTTGGACCTTTCTGATGGTGGTAGGTTTACAAAAGAGACATAAAATACTGTAAGCTTGCCTCTGCGACCTCTTTTCATGCCTAGTGGATTGGCCAATTCAATGTCATCGCAATACAAAAGCATCACAATAGTGTTCTTCTCTTGGGTGCTTGCTACTGGGTGCATTTGAACTCGCATGCCATCAGTAAAATCTTTAAGCAACGCACTGTTTGAAGTCTGCAATGGAGACTGAAAGTGGCGGGAAAAGATTGGATGACGGAGCAAATTTTCAATTAGTCTCTTGAGTGGCACAAAGTAAACTTTTTCACCATGCGGAAGTTTTACTTCCTCTGGTGGAACATAAATCCCCTGAGAAGTGTACAGGGCCTTTCTTGCGCGGTCATTTTCGAGTGCGGACACATCGATTGCGGTACCAGCAGTCTGTAAGATGTCTGCTATTTTAGCAACAACTCCGTCAACTCCAACAATCGGACAGCTATATTGCGACTCAAGCTGTCTCGCCAGACATGACAGCTTTGTAAGAATATCTGGGCTTGGAACACTTTCTAAGTCACAATCCAAATCAGTTTCCTCAAAACAAGACGGAACACTTGACGAAGCATTGCTTAAGCTTTCGGCTGTATTAAAATATGATGTCCGATTCTCAGCCAAGTCAACAGTACATTGCTTTTCATGCCTATTTAGAACGCGGTAATCATTGCTTTCTGAAGATGTGCATCTACACTCGGTATGCAATTTATATTGAGCCATGCAGACAAATCGCTTCCGACACCTAGTGCACACCAAAGCAACCTCGTTCATGTGCACTTCCCGAACATGTCGCATAAAGGCATAAAAATGCCTGCTGGTGAACCTGCACACCACACAAACGTGTTTGCTGACCTTGGGTGCAGGTTTTGATGGCGCAGGAGCTTCATTAATGGCAAGTTGCTGGCTCATGTCTACAGGAAGGTCCGAAGGAGGTGGA